GGTACAGGTGGCTAGAGGACCCCCAAGTCGGGGATGCCCCTTGCCTCCCTGGGTCCTAACTGGACTCTTTCCATCCCAGGGCACAACCCAGGAGGCTGGGTGGTATAGTGGGTTAGGAACTGCACTGCTAACCACAAGGCTGGTGGTGCAAACCCAGCAGCCTCTCTCAGAGAGAAAGATGAGGCTTTTTGCTCCCGTGAAGATTGACAGCCTTGTAAAAACAAAGGGACAGTTCTGTCCTGTGCTAACAAGAGTCCACTCTATGGCAGTGAGTTTGGTCTATTTTGTAGGGCGCACCCCCCCCCCCCCACTCACCCTCTTTGCGCATGCCGACCCGGAAGCACTTTTTGAGGCGACAGTACTGACACTGGTTCCGGTGGTGCTGGTCAATCTGGCAGTCACGGTTGGACCTGGAGGCACACAGGTGGGGTTGACCTTGTCACCAGTACCAGCTAGAAGGTGAGAGAAATAAAGGGGCAGGGAGGGGAAATTAGGAGAGATTAGGGGGCGAGGGGAAATACAGGTCAATCAGAGGGTCACTCAGTGCCTCCCTCCAACCCCCCAGAGGCTGCTTATCCCCACCTCCTGGGTTCACAGGATGCTGGAGAGGGGGTTCCTGCAAGCCCCCCTAGTTCTGCCCTGTGTCCACCAGCCCCCAGCTCCCCACACCCCTCTAAAGGCAGGTGTGTCTAGATCCCTGGGACCCTAGTGCCAGCCACTAGCTACCATCAGTAGCCCCAGGAAGAGACAGGGAACTCAGAAATGGAGGTGGCCTAGGACACCATCTATCGCCCTGGCTGGCCTTGACCCCAAGAAGGGCCCTTGTCTCAGGGAGGGAGGAAGAAACACTGAGGCACAAAGCAGAAGAGGTGGCTGCAGGCCCGCCCAGCCAAGGCTGCAGACAGCCAGCGGTGGTGGGGCGGGAGGAGGGCAGGAAGGCTGGGTGCCAGGCAGGGACTAATTAATGAGGGTTAATGAGCTGGCACGTGCTGCCTTGGCACCTCTGTGAACTCCTGGTCAACCCTCGTGGTGCAGGCAGGGGAGGAAGAGCTCCGGCAGGAGCCCAAAGCTGGCAGAGCCCAGCGGAAAGCCAGGGCCTGGGTTCATGCCTACATGTAGTCTCCGAGCCTCTGGGCAT